AGGCTTTATAAACACTTCCCACACTCTTGCAATGTTCTAAACTCTTAAACCTACGTACACACAATTGACTGATTGATGGATGAGCTGCGCAAGCGGCACGAAATTTTTTATTTAAAATAAATTATTTTAAATGAGTCAGAGATTCTTTGTCGTTCGTACCACATGTGGTACACGTGGTGCGAAGGAAATTATGTACACAGTGTCCCAGTTACATCCAACAATAAAATGTAAAAGAAAAACAGTAATAAGATCTAAGAAATGAACTAAGAAAAACATCAACTTAAAATACGCTAAGCACTAATGGCATAAAAACATTACGTCGAACATCAGCACGAACATGAGCATGAGTCTGTGTGAGCAGATGAGCACGCATGAACACATCAACATGAAACAGATCAGCAAATAATTTAGCACCTGCTGCACCTGTGTGCAGCCCAAAGGTGCAGGGAGAAGCGCCCTCCTGCAACATGTCATGATCTTCGCTCTCTGTCACCTGCCAGCGATTGCAGCAGAGAAGTGGGAGTGGCCAAGAGCAGCAGGTGGCAGAGCGTGGAGATTGACATGCTGCGCTCTTTTAGAGCGTTTAGTTTAGAAACATTATTTAGAACATTGCAAGAGTGTGGGAAGGGTTTAAAATGCCTTAATACATATATGTATACTAAAATACTACTTACTTGTACTACTATTCCTACTTTGTGGTTTTTCACTTATCGCAGGGTTTCCGTTCCCAGACCCCCCGCGATAAACAAGAGACTACTGTACTGCAAAATTTAACTGACCAGCTCTGCAGACCAGCAGCTCGGTTCCAGTTTGGCAGACCTACCCTGCAGCGACGAAGCCCACTGCCCCGTCCAGGTTGATGTGTGCGTGGATAGTTGAGCTCCAGGAAGCTTCAGGATTATCTGCAATTTTCCTGCCAGTTCTGTGAGCTGAACAGATCGATGTTACTTCTGACTTTGCATTGCAAAACTTTCCCTCCATTTTGGCAGAAAGCAGCGACTGGAAGCACTGTTGGCTTCTGGGTAGTGTAGTCCTTTTGACTAGAATTACAGTGTAGGCTTATTGAAAGAAAACTACAAAATGGTGGCGCCTGTTTGAAGTATTTATTTTTACTTTTTATTCCGTACCGCCCCAATCACGTGAGTAATATTAAAGTTTACAGTCGTTGATAAACCACAAAAGAGCGTGTCCGCGAAAGTCCAATTGTGAAGTAGCGAGGGACTACTGTATTTTATTTGATTTTGACTTTGGGTTTATGATTTTTCAAACTTTTTTTCATTTCATGCACCGGCACAATTTAATTGTTCCCATTATGTCAGCCAACAATGTCAAAAGGCCAAATAGTTTGAATTTTTGACAATGAGAGCAATCGGTGCAGGAAGGATTTCCATAGACAGCTCATGGAGCTTTAGAAAACTCTCCCAAAATAAAAAATAAAAAACACATTATGTTGTTTGTGAGAACAGTGGAGAAAACAGATCTTAGTGCTCCAAGGGTTTATAAAAACAAACAGCTTTTATGTTGCACATTTTGAATAATTCATTGCCAACTGCGTGCTGCTTCCCTTCTCCTCCTGCAGGCAGAGATCGTTCGCAGTGGTAATGTTCAGTGTTTGTCCTTCCCTCTGTCTGTCGCCACCTTCTTCACGTCGACCTCCTGGGTCCTTTATGGCCTCCAGCTCAACGACTACTACATCATGGTAAAACACGGCTAACGTCTCTCCAATCTGTGCAGCCGCTGCAACCACAACGTAACGTCGACGTTTACATTTCATTTCAGGTTCCCAACACGCCTGGGATTGTCACCAGCCTGATCCGGTTTTATCTGTTCTGGAGATTTGCATCAGATGATCCCAGTTTGCCCACATATAAGGTTATGCAGTTATGAAAATAACAATGAACGTGAAAGAAGAGGAGAATTCAAATCTGTTGGATGAAAAACTCTCTTGCGTTTAAAGTTTTTCATCCGGCGTTGATTGTCATAAAGCTGACGTCGCTCGGTTACAAGGACAGTTCTGTACTGTATTTAAATGGAGCTAAGCTGTTATTTCCCCGCTCTTTGTGTTAAATCTGTGATCTTTGTCTCTTCTCCGTGTCTTCGAGTGCCTTTGGTCTGATCGACTCCGCCATTAAATGTCAGCTGCGTTCACTGACCAGCTTTCACGTCAGGAAAAATGTGTTCACAGCCAGTGTCTTTCTGTGCTTGCCAAAGATTTAGTGGAGTATCGTTTGAATGGATACATATGTATTTTTTTTGCTCTCTTGGCAGACGTTTATAAAACAAGGAAAAATGTGTTTTGTATGTTTCTACTCAACGTGGCGAAGTGACAATGATGAATTCATCTCTTTACAGGTGATATTCATGCCTTTATGTTATTTTATAACTGTAGTTATATATTATATATCATGACAGAAATAATGTTTTCTAAAGGGTTTGTGGACCAATTTATACAGAATGTGCTTATTGAGCTCATGTTCAAGACCACCGTTTACCTTTTTTCTTTTCTTGGTCTGTTTTCAGAATTTGTATTTAAATTTAAATAAATAAACATCTGCTTTTGTTTTTGTGTTTTATAATTTCTTTCTTGACTAAATGTCTCTTGAACCATTGGAAAGACTTTAATGCAACTTTCAGAACATATTAATTAGCTGTACATCTATTAATTTTTTATCAATATGATTCAAAATGGACAACATAATACTGTATCTTCAACTCTGTCAGTTTCACAGATATTGAGCCAACATATGGTAGTAGCCGAGAGTCATTCACAGCACATATTCTGAGCACTGAGTTCACAAAATGTTACTTTTGATTAAACTGCTGTAACGCTCTCATTTCTCAACATATGATCTTAATTTAAATCTCAGACATGAGAGGATATATCTGGAGAGGAGGGTCCGTCGGATAGTCGAACCTCTGATTCAGGAGGAACAGTGTGGTTTTCGTCCTGGTCGTGGAACACTGGACCAGCTCTACACTCTCAGCAGGTCCTGGAGGGTGCGTGGGAGTTTGTCCAACCGGTCTACATGTTCTTTGTGGACATGGAGAAGGCGTTCAACCGCGTCTCTCGGGGAACCCTGTGGGGGGTACTCTGTGAGTATGAGGTACCGGGCCCTTTGATACGGGCTGTTAGGTCCCTGTATGACCGGTGTCAGAGTCTGGTCCGCATCGCCGGCAGTAAATCAGGCTCATTCCCGGTGAGAGTTAGTTAGACTCCGCCAAGGTTGCCCTTTGTCACCGATTCTGTTCATAACTTTTATGGACAGAATTTCTAGGCGCAGCCAAGGTGTTGAGGGGATCCGTTTTGGTGGCCTTAGGATTGCATCTCTGTTTTTTGCAGATGATGTGGTCCTGTTGGCTTCATCAGGTCGGGATCTACAGCTTTCGCTGGAGCGGTTTGCAGCCGAGTGTGACACGGCCGGGATGAAGATCAGTTCCTCCAAATCCGAAGCCATGGTCTTGAGCCAGAAAAGGGTAGAGTGCCCTCTCCGGGTCAGGGAGGAGGTCCTGCCTCAAGTGGAGGAGTTTAAGTATCTCGGGGTCTTGTTCACAAATGAGGGGAAAAATGGAGCATGAGATCGATAAGCGGATAGGTGCGGCGTCGGCAGTGTAGCGGGTGCTGTACCAGTCTGTCGTGGTGAAGAGAGAGCTGAGTCAAAAGGCAAAGCTCTCAATTTACCGGTTGATCTACGTTCCTACCCTCATCTATGGTCATGAGCTTTGGGTTGTGACCGAAAGAACAGTTGGCTGAAATGAGTTTTCTCCGCAGGGTGTCTGGGCTCTCCCTTGATAAAGCCTTTCCATCCATCCATTTTCTTCCACTTTTTCGGGGTCGGGTCGCGGGGGTAGCAGCTTAAGTAGGGAGGCCCAGACTTCCCTCTCCCCAGCCACTTGGGTCAGCTCTTCTGGGGGAATCCCGAGGAGTTCCCAGGCCATCTGAGAAACATAGTCCCTCCAGCGTGTCCTGTGTCATTCCCTGGGTCTTCTCCTGGTGGGACGTGTCCAGAACACCTCACCAGGGAGGTGTCCAGGAGGCATCCTAACCAGATGCCCGAGCCACCTCAACTGGCTCCTCTCGACATGGAGAAGCAGCGGCTCTACTCTGAGTCCCTCCCGGATGATCGAGCTTCTCACCCTGTCTCTAAGTTCAAGTATCTTTCTTGTCATTTGCATCACATGTGGTACATGAGATGGAACTAAATTATGTACACAGGAGCCCAGTTACACCCAAGATTAGCAAAAATATAAATTGTAAAAAGACGTGGTATATAATTGTCTAAGATTTTTGTTAAATAATAATAATGTAAAACAATATGGCGTAACAGCAGCTCAAGCCTGAGTCTATGGTGATGTTGGAGCACAGGATGCTCCAGCATCAACATGCTCGTATTTTTTCCTTTAAGGAATGATAAACTATTAAAGAAACAAATTTTCAACATTGCATCTTTTCTATGTGATTTTATAATCTTAAACATATTCATAGTATTAAACCTTCATCAAAAGTGATGCAGGTCATTATCAGCTGGTTGTTCTGTCAACATTATTCTAATGAAGACGTGTTTTTATCCCCCTCCTGTGAAAGTTGCACTCGACCTTTGAAGATCTGTGCTTTCATTTGGACTTTTTGTTTTGGTTGTAGTAACGAGCGTTCAGGCAGATGTGAGGCGATAAGTGTTTGTGTTGCTGAGGTGGATGTACAGCAGAGACAAAGCCCCTTTGATAGTGCAGCAGTGCAGGGAGCTCGTTTGTGTCACCATGTTGATACAGAGAGGGCAGTGGTGGGAAAGGCCACACCGGAGGTTCTCATCCTGTGTGTGCGCGTGCACGTGTGCGTGTGTGTGTTATGGTGGTCTCTCTTCCTGAGCTCAAAGAACCCGCCTCAGACAGAAAACACAGATATTGTGCCAAAATTGAGTGTTGTGGAGAACCTAAGAAAAGACTGAAGCTGGAGGATAAATGGACTACAACTGCAAGAACAAACAAGCAAAAAGCCACTCTACTGATGAATTCAGTTTGGGCTTGTTTTGTCACTTCACTGATGTATTACTGCGTTTATGGCCTTTGAATTGTTCAAATACCCTCATATTGTTGTCATGAAATAAAAGAACAAATGTTAGATGAATGATTTTACCATATTTATTTATAATTATTCAGGTTGGTACAATTATTGTGAGAAGACAGATTTTAGTGGACCCTTACAAAGTCAAAAACTGTTAAATAAACAACACATAGTCTGTATTTTCATTTTGGAGTTAAAAAAAAAAAAAAAAAAAGCTAAAATGCAGAGGTTTGAGGTACATTTGGAAAACCTCACGTAGTGTGAAGGAAAATGTGACGCTCCAGCACTTATCACCAACTTTCAGCCTTTTGTGAAATTATTTTGCATTTTTAAGATGCTCTCCTGCGCCCTTGTCTTCTTCTATACACAGACATGTTTCCTCTCTGCTTGCTTCAGCTACATGCAAGAATATCACTTCACACTCGTGGCACCACCGTCACATGTATCATGCCTTCAGCCTGTCTCATGATCGCTGTCATAGCGTGGGCATGAAGCCAGCTTGGCCAGTTCTTCATAAATAAGCCGCACTGGTGAACACAGCCAAGTCAAGGATCTTTATTGTCATTCTCATCACATGTGGTACATGAGGTGGAACGAAACTGTGTACGTGGGGGTCCCAGTTACATCCAACAATATCATAAGTATAGTGTAAAAAGAAACAAGAAATAAGGATCTTAGACATACACTAAGATATACGCTAAACGAATGCCTAAAGGTACGCTAAAAGATCTAAGGTCACTAATAGTGCAAAACCATACACTGAATAACAGCAGCCCGATTCTCAAAGTTCGGTTTGGCTATACCAAAACATGCAAAAAAAAATAAAAAACAAGGCGCCAAAAGTGAAAAAGAAATAGAAAAAAAATCAGCATGGTCCTATTGGCAGAGATGACAGAGATGTTATCTTAGCATCATGGTCCAGTTAGCAGCATGATACTGTTAGCAGTGAGGTTCGGTTACCATTGAGGTTTCTCTTAGCAACTAGTCCCGTTGGCACCATGGTACTGTTAGCGGCGTGGTCTTGTTAGCAGCGTTAGCAGGTCTTGTTGGTAGGTCCACACGTGTGGGAACACAGGTCCCACATTATAAATACACTGTCACCATGCTCCACCCAGGCCTAACCTAAACCATCGTGGATCTCTGATGCTCTTTTACATGAGCCCACAGCTCGCCAACACTCTGCCTAGATCATCCACATTCTGGGTGGTTTTTATGTTGTAGCAGGGTGATTAACCAGCACAAAGGTGACTCTTGTGCCTCAGTTAGCTTGTTGAATATCAACATTCACAACAGTAGCAAACTGAACAAATCGAAGATTGAACAAGTACGGCTTTTTAGGTTGTAAAGTGATGGCCTTTAACAAAAAAAGAAAAATGTACAGCTCATGTTCACGTCTAAACGAGCTACAGAAATTTCTTAAATCACTGTTTTAGAGCAAAGGTCTCATCTCTAGTCCTCATGGCCCAAAGTCCTGCATAGCTCAGATGTTCAACACACTTGAGACTAAAAGCTTAATTACCACCTCCTCATGTCATTGACTTCTGCAGAAGACTGTTAATGAGGTGTGTTGAAGTAGAAAACATGTAAAACATGTAGGACAAGGTCTGGGGTTCCTTTAGAAAGAACAGTCCATAGTAGAGACATTTGTAAGGATCAGCTTTGACGAAACCCATCCATCCATTATCTTTACCCCGTTTTCTTTTTTCGAGTCGCAAGGGTCACTGGTGCCCATATCCAGCAATCTCTGTGCAAGAGGCAGGGTACACCCTGGACAGGTCTCCAGTCCATCACAGGGCCACATAGAGACAAACGAAACAACTGTAGTGAGTCACGTGAGGTACGTGTCACTTG